GGGATTTCTGTCCTTGGATGTCAATCAACAGGCAGAAGCGCAGCAGGGGCAACTGGTTTGTAGTGAGACACTATGGGCTGGGCTTGTGGGTCTCTAAGTTGGTTGACCCCGCCTCTAAGCCACGATCCAACGGTTAGGCTAGGAAGGCGCGCTTGCGTGCAGGGTAAGTAGGACAGCCTGGCCTGCCCCTGCAGTCTCTTCCTGCTAGGTAGCATCTCCCCTTTGACCAGGTCTCCACACACCGCTCACCCCACCACTCCATGGTCTGGGTTTCATTTAACACCTCCACCAGGTCTGTGCAGTTGTCGCACATCGTTTAACCGCCGCCCTCCATGATAGAAGCCCTCGCGCATTAAATAGAGAAGGTAAAATGAAATCTGACATACAAAGAAAAACAAAAAACTAACCAAATCCATAAGAGACCAGGGGGAGACAGGGAGTAAGAATTAAAGAAGGAAGGAACATCAGGTTGCAGGAATCCATTTCTATTCTAGATACCTAAATCTCTCTAGTACAACAAAGACCAGGATCCAATAAGTGCAATTATCCTAAAAGTCAGTAAGACAATTTTATTAGCATAACTTGCAAAACAACATGTGCCAGATTAGAAATGAGTCAAGGAAACAAACAACTGTCGAATTAAAATACGTCAACTCCTTTAAAGAAACAGTTCACAGAAATTTTTACTGCTTTAAATTACTTTATTAGTTACACGCCAACTTAAAAATTAAGTATGTTTTTATTGTTGTGAAATGCCTTCTAGTCGGTTCTGACTCACCATGACGCTGTATAGGGTTTTCAAGGAGCAGCTGGTGGGTATGAACTGCTGAGCTTAAAGCTCAAACTAACCTTACAGTTCAGTGCATTATACTGCAGTGTCACATCAGGACAAGCATAAACTACTTAAAATTATAAAACAAGTTAGCTGAAATAAATTTTACTTGCAATATAAATCTTGTACTAACAGATATTGACACAAGTTCTTGAATTCAGCATGTTTATACTGCTGCATGCTACTAAATTATGATGCAAATAGAGGGTTGTTGCTGTTAGTGCCAGTGATTTCAACTGACCCTTTACAGGGTTAACAGCTGGTGGGTTTGAAGTGCTGTCCTTGTGGTTAAGCAGTCTACTGCTTATCCTACTTCGCAAATAGTGGTACAAGAGCTATTTTATGCATTCCATGGATGGACATTGCTACTTTAATTACAATAAAAGTTTATTAGCACTTCAAATCAATGAGTCCAAGCTATGTAGAAAAGAATGAGTCCATTTTAAAAAGAGAAAAATTTAAAGGAAATACTGGCAAAGTTGTGAAAATATTGCTTGAAGGATACGCTTGGGAAATACTGTTCTATCTGAATCAAAATCTACATGAAGTATCACTTTAGGCTAAATGCGCGGTGTAAACTGAGTCTGAATCTGTACTGTTTTGAGACACCACCATGCAACTGCAAACCCAGTATCATGTAGCGATGCTTGTTATAAAGTTATCACTCAGATGACCCACAAAATGCTTGTTAAACTTAAGACAATCAGAATCAAATTTCAAAGCTGAGAATTTATGAACTTCTGTGAATCTGTTTGTTTATGTTCTGGTTTGAGAAACACTGAAATGAAGTTAAAGTAATAATTTGCAATATAGAACCATATAAAGACAGCTATTAGGGCATGTACACATTAATCGGATGGCTATTATCAACGTACAATCCTTCATCTTAGTCCACAGGACTCGCAGCTGCCTTATGAATAAGCTCATCTCTGTAGTTACACATCATCAGTTCTAAGTAATAACATCAGCATCTTATCTAGAATTATACTGTTCATCATAAGGGAAAAAAACAAAGCTATTTCACACAAACCTTTGATGTTTCGATGACAGTTTTCAGATGATTAGTGGCCAGAAGTCTCACAGGAGCAAGTGGGTAATTCAGACTGAGCATTAACGAGGTATCAGAATCTGCTAAAATCTGTCGGGTTAACCACAATTATCAAATAATTTTACTATAAAATCTGAGCAGCATATGATCAAGAATTAAACCAATCCAGAATGTCCAACATATTCAATAGCAATCATCTAATTATACACACCCACTAAGCAAAGCAAAATCTTTGTTTCTATAACATGATACAAGAGATTAAACAAAGATTTGCCCTAATTTTAAGAGTGACTGGTGTAACCTTGTATGTATAGGTTTAACCTAGTGATGTAATTCTATTAAGTCCTTTTGTATTCTTTATGTAAATCTGATTCGACAAGGAAAAGCACCTAAATAGAATTATAAACTGTATTCTCTCTCAACTCACTGAAATGATAGAACAGCAATCCTGTAATGAATGACTATTTAGTTCACTTTTAGAATTAGACTAAGAAGGAAGTACATTAACCTAAGATTTGAAAATACAACACCATTTAAACATGATTGTTTTTAAGGAAGAAAAAACTAAAATAATCATTTTTCTCTTCACAAGACCTATTTAAAGGCTAATTTCAAGACTCTCTGCTTACATTTGTATAACTTCTACTATAAAGTTCTAGGTTACAATCACAGTGTAACTTCTGTAATTCTAACAGGATCATGAAATAAAAACATCTTTTTTCCTAATTAATAATTTAAATAGCCATACGTGGCTATTGAGTATTGTATAGGCCATCACAGATCTGAAAGAACAGGAACACTAGAAGCCTACGTGGGACTGCTAATGAACATCACATATAAAATCCCATGTAATACTCTTCCTGAAACAAGTATCATGTCCATTTTGTTATTGTTGTTAAGTGTCATCAAATCAGTTCTACCTCACAGCGACCCAATGTAAGGTTTCTGAGGAGCAGCCAGTGGGTCTGAACTGGCAACCTCATGGTTTTCAGTACAGTACCAATCCTACAGAACATGTTCAAACCTACATAAAAATTAAGTGTCTCCAATTATACGATCCTGCCTCAGAACCTTACTTCAGGTAACCAAGCAAACCGAACATCATCTCATTCTCTATGAAACATTCCCAAGAGAGGAGGAAAGTAATACATTTCCTTTTGCAATTCTTCAAACAAGGTCACCAATAAACAACGGTCGTGACTATCCTGAAGAAAAGCTTACCTGATACTTTCCTCCACTTGTAGAAAGAGAAATAAATTGGTGGAAAAGCTCTTGTTTGTTAAGATCTCTGACTTCCTTTAGGTGCTCCTCTAATACAACATCTAGTGTTCTGGGGTATCTAGGAAGAAATGAGAGTTCACTCATCACATCACTGCAAACCACAAGGTAGGCAGTTCAAACCCACCAGCAGATGAGATTTTCTGCTCCCATAAAGATTTACAGCCTCAGAAACCCTGTACAGGGTCGCTATGAGTCAGAACCAACTCAACAGCACTTAACAACAACAATAATAAAGTCATGAACACAGCATGTATAAAGAAAGATAGCATTTTTAAAACTCTATTGGTGGTGTTGTTATGTGCCGTGGAGTCGGTTCTGACTCATAGCCACCCTGTACAGGGTTTCCGAGGCTGTAAATCTTTATGGGAGCAGAAAGTCTCATCTGCTGCGGAACAGCTGATAGTTTTGAACTGCTGACCTTGGGGTTCGAAGCCTGATTCGTAACCACTATGCTACCAGAGCTCCTTAAAACCTCCAAATTTGGAAAAATGGTATACATTTAAACAAAATGGCAATGATAAACTTCAACAAAATAAATATTGCATCTGTACAAAAACATACTTCTCACGGTCCACACACAACCCTTTATATTTCAAAAATAATTCCTATACCCACCAGTCCCAACAATTGACTGTATTATTATATGACTTGAGACTCCTATCTCTATGCCACTGTTGTTGCTAAGTGCCATCATAGGTACACATTAAAAAAGGGGAAATCACACACAACTTACTTGCTTTCTAAGAGTCTTATAAGTGGAAGACAGTGTTCATTAAGCAATGATCTTTTGTTAGAATTGCTTTCTTCCTGGGAGCTACAGGAAATATATTCTTCAAAAAGAATGCTGAAAAAAAAATTAGTAGGTGTGAGTTACCATTTATTACATACCTATGTTGTAAGCTCTTGAAATATATCACAATTTGTCATATACATACGACATGTAAATTACAATACTTACAGATACTGAAACGGGGGCTAAGAAGTCATATATTTTACCTGAAGTCAAATTTTAACAGCAACACCAGCAGCATTTGGTGATCCCTAACGTGTTACAAAAGGTGGCAAACCACAGCCGGAACCTACAACCTAAAGTCTCAGCTGTACTTCACACGTACACTTCACCTAATTCACAAGCCAACCCTCGGATCCAACAAGGGAGAACACAGACACGCCCCAGCAGTTAGGGGCCAGGCAGTGTGACACCAAAACGGAACACAGCAAAGCTACTCTAAGGGCAGCAGTCGGTACAACAAAACAAAGGGACACCACTTTCAATCAAGAAGGGTGAGTGCCAGGGATGTATTCTTTCGCCAAACTTATTCAATCTGCATGCTGAGCAAATCATCCAAGGAGCTGGTTTATATGAAGAACATATGACACGGAATGGAGGAAGATGCATTAGTAGCCTGCAATATGCAGTTGATGTAACCCGGCTTGCTAGCAGCGAAGAAAACAAAAATCCTCATAATTAGACAAATAAATATGATAAATGGAGAAAAAACCAAGCTCTCAAAGATTTCACGTTGCTTGGATTCAAATCAGGTCTGGAAGCAGCAGCAGTTTAGAAATCACATGACGCATTGCATTAGGAAAATCTGTTACAAGAAACTTCTTTAAAGTTTTCAAGATCCAAGTTTTTCTTTCAAAAACAGAAGGACGTTAAATGCCGTTGAGTCCGTTCGGACTCAAAGCTACCCGGTATAGGGTTTCCGAGCATTTAAACCTTTGTGGGAAGAGAAAACCTCATCCTTCTCACACAGAGGGGCTGGTGAGCTAAAACCACTGACTTTATGGTTTGCAGTCCAGTGGTTTATCCTATTGAGTCACATCCAAATCTCAAAATAGGTATTTAAAAAATATATATATGCAGAGACACAAGCTCGCAGGCCAAAAAGTAAAGACTAGAAAGCGCTTACTGATGAAGATCAAGAATACAGCCTTTGGTACGGATTACAACTTGGCATAAAGAAAATAAAATCCTCACAACTGAACCAATTTAGCTATATCAAAATAATAAGAAAAGATAGAAGCTGTCAAGAATTTCATTTTACTTGGATAATAATCAAAATTCAACAAAACAGCAGTCAAGAAAACAAGCAAACTTCCATGCATCAAAACATTTCACCAAAGAAGTTAAAAAGAGAGCCAATAGACTGGGAAAACTATTTTTGCAAAGGCCTATCAGACAAGGGACTAGTCACTAAAATTTATATGGAAAACGGAGTCCTCGTGTGGAACTGTAGGATAAACCCTGGACCAGTAGTTCAAACGCACCAGCCACTCCTGGGAAATGAGGGATCACTGATTCAGAACCAACCTGGTGTTGCTGTGGTTAGGTGCCATCAAGTAAGTAGTGACTCAGAGCAACACCTGGCACAAAAGAACAAAATACTGCCCGGTCCTGTGCCAACTTAACAAAAGATGCACATCTGAGATCATCGCTGCTGCCTCTGGGCCAGCCAATCCATCTCACTGGGGATGTTCCTCTTTTTCTCTGATCCCCTAGTTACCAAACATGATATCCTTTCCCAGGCACTAGTCCCTCCTGAAAACATGTCTCAAGTATGAGAGATGAAGTCCGGCCATCCTGGCTTCCAGGGAGCATTCTGGCTGTACTTCTTGAAACACAAATTGGTTTACTCTTTTGGCAGTCCATGGTACTTTTAATATTCTCTTCCAACACCACAGCTCACATGCATCAATTTTTCTACAGTCTTCCCTGTTCACTGTCCAACTTTCACACGCCTATGAGGCCACTGAAAATACCAAGGCTTGGGTCAGATGCACCTTAGTCCTCAAACTGACATCTTTGCTCTTGAACACTTTTAAGAGGTCTTGTGCAGCAGATTTGCATAATGTTCCATCTGTCATACATAGGGTCTCTATGTGTCAGACTCAATTGGTGGTACCTAACAGTAATGTTCAGTCCAATCATGTCATCATGATAAATGAAGAAAAGAACTTCAACATCCTATGGCAGGAGCAGTTAAGAAATCAAATGACATACTGCACTGGGTAAATGTGCAGTAAAAGATTTGTTAAAAAGCAAAGAGGTCACTCTAAAGACTAAGGTGCACCTGCCCTAAGCCATGGTATTTTCAATCCCCTCACATGTATGTGAAAACTGTACAACAAATAAGGAAGAATGAAGACGTGATGCCTTTGAATGATGGCAGTGGTGAAGAATATTGAAGAAATCACAGGCTGCCAGAAGAACAAGCAAATCTGTCTTAAGGCAGTACAGCTAGAACGCTCCTTAGAAGGCAGGATGGTGAGCCTTGGTCTCTAGTACTCTGGACATATTAGGAGGGACCAGTCCCCAGAGAAGGACCCCACACTTTATCAGTGAACTAGAGGAAGACTCTCAACAAGCTAGACTGACACAGTGGCTGCCAACAATGGGCCCAAACGACAATGGGCAAGAATTGTGACGATGGCTCAGGACCAGGCCAGAATCTTGTTCTGTTGTACAGAGTGAGTCAGAACCCACTTGACAGCACCCACTAACTACGTAGCTGTTTCAGGAGCCCCAGCAGTTCAATAAGGAGTCTTGATGCCACTGTAGAATAAGCACTGGACTGCTAACCACAAGTTGGGCAGTTCAAAGCCACCAATCGCTCCATGGGGAGAAAGATGAGGCTTTCTGCTTCCACGTATATTTACAGCCTTGGAAAGCCTAAGCAGGGTTGCTCTGAGTAGGAATTGACTCAACGGCAATGGTGCTGGCTCAACAGCTAAGCGACTTCCTAGGAACAAAGACCAAGTGATGTGCTCCCAAAAAGACTCTAATCCAGCGAACCCTCGGGTAGTTCGACTCGTCAAAGAGTCGCTATGAGTTGGAACTGACATAACAGCAACACTGTTGCAATCAAATACAAATAAATAAAAAATGATAGCTTACCTAGCCAACATATGGTCTAAGTTGTTCTTCAGAGAGATATTTGTAAGGATAGCCTCTAAGTGCTTCCTGTAGATCTCACCATCCACCTCCTCAGTTTCTTCTCCTGGGCAGACAGACAGTCAATCATTCAGAAGTGAGGTGGATGGATTTGGGGCAAAATCAGTACATGAATCAAGATCTCAAGAAACTCTCTCTGAAAACTAATGCAGCTTCTATCTCAATACGGTCATTTTCTACTGCAGATTTACTTATAAGTGTATGAATTTATAGTATTTTTCAAGTAGAAACTGCTTAGGAATAAAGATAAAAAAACTACAACGCGTAGATAGAACTTTAGGTACTGCAGTCAATTAACAAGGAGATCCCTTGACTCAACCTGCCGCCCACTTCAAATTTTCCCACTTGAGAACAACAGACGTGTTATACAAACACTAACTGGATAGCAGATATTGCTAATATTTTTAAGATATTTTAAGAGAATACAAATCTTAGTAAGTTTCCGGACACAAAACTCATACCCTCATACCTGTAACATGATGAATAATAGAAACGACCAGGTGGGGAAGCATGTAACGCAGAAGAGGACAGATGTCGTACGTTTCAGAAATCCCATGAAGTGTTGTAATAAGATCAGGAACCTTACATAAGTGAGGAAATGGCCTTAAAAGAAGCAAGTGCACATGACGGTGACTTTACAAGTTAGATAATGATCATTTTTAAAAAAATTGGTGTATCATTTAACACCCAATTTTCATTCAAACTCACTTCCCCTATTAATTACCATCACTTCTCAGTTCAGTGGAACGTACTTTTTCCCGAGGCTGCCAGGTTTCTGTCTCTGCAAGAGCACTATGAGGCAGCCGAGGCCATCCTTGGTCAAAGAGGGGATTTTACTCAATGTTTTGATGATCTGTGATGCCAGTGAATTAACAAAGGTATCTTCCATTGTCACTTTCACAGCAATTTGACATATTATCATGTATGTTGCAGCTTTGTAATCTGGTAAAGATGATTTCAATCCCTAATATTTTTTAAATAATTAGAAAAGAAAAAAGATAAGCTTCATTATTTTATGCAATTTAAATTGCTACTTTCTCTACTGACAAATTAATAATCTCCTAAATTACTGTGTACTATACAACACAGCACACAGAATCAACCACTCTTCAGAACTAAAGTATCAAGGGCTGACCCGTTCCTGAGTGGAAACAGAAAGGAGGCAAGTCTCCGGAATGAGAAATGAGATCTCAGGCATCCCAAGTGAATCTCTGCTACACATCCTAATGAGGGTCAGTATGTTCTTCTTTTATATTCGACTGAACACATTTCTGCTGCACATCCTAACGAGGCAGTAAGCTTTTTAAAAAAATTCAAATGTCTACTCTTGAAAATAAGGGAGACTTCCAGCAGATCATTAAACAGCTAAAACAAGTGCACTGATTTGACAATAATTTAGGGGCACTTGGTCAGAAGCAATGGGAATTTGGGAAGGTAGTAGGCAACAAGGCACCTAGGAAGAAGTGGCGTTAAGCAGCAGAAGCTGATGCAGAATGAATATGAGACACCCAATGCCTTGATCAGGTTTTGTAAATGCACTTTTTCTAGTGACTTTAAGGAAATCAACAGAGGCAAGACCAGATAGCCAGCATCTATTACTGGTGTGGCGCTGTGGGTTAATGCGCCAGACTGCCAAGTTGTTTGAACCAAAAGGCCAAAGGTTCAAGCTCACCAGTAGCTCCTCGGAAACCCTACACAGGGTCGCTATGGGTCGGAACTGACTCAACGGTACTAACAACAACAACAACTCTTAAAAGTTCTACTCTGTTGATCATTTCAAACAAGATTTTTTATTTTTACTTAAAAATTAAATCCTATCAAGCATTTGATGTAAATTGTCAATGCGAAAAGATCTGTTTAATTAAACACTTTAAAAGCAAGAAAATTCCTTCATGTATGAAGTACTCCACTTTCCACATAAACAAGTCAAACCTTTTGGACGTAGGGAAACAACTTGGCAACAACATTGTCTGAAAGGTCCTCAGCAGCCACTAAAGCAGACACGATGGTAGAAGCATAAAAGGTTAATAGTACCCTCAGCTGAGCTGCGCTTCCAGGATACTCAGCGAAAACCTGAAACACAAAACCCAAACAACTGCATTAAAGAGCGCAAGACCAACAAGATATAATACAGCTTTCCTGACTCCAGGTTTTGACATTTTCATTTCTGCCAGACGCAGCATTGAACAAATACGAACTCAATGATTCCATTAAATATGACAAGGATGATCTGCATGACAAGTTTCCTGATATTTTCATATTGCCTCAGAGTTTGCATAGTCACTGTAAACAGAATCAACAAGGAACAATTTGTTTCTGCATAAAAGCATCCTTGATCATGAAACACTGATTCTCAAATTGCTCAGGCTTCTAAACAAATTTTTTCCAAGAACCAGTGTCATTCAGGAAATTTTGCTTTAATGTCTTCTTCCTTCATAGCTAGGAATCTTTTAAAGGAATTACAGATAAGTCCCTGACTTACAATGTATTTTAGTTACAACAAACCACACTTAAAATGATCTTATGTTGTTTGTTTTTTGGTACATTAGCAATATGCCGCATTCACTTTATTGTCTGCAGACGTTTAATGTTACGATTTACTAATCAATGAAGTCAGTTTGGGCTAAGGGATAGAAATTGGGCAATATCCAACTTTAGCAATATACAACTGCACATGTGCCCAACAGCCTTTGACTCCAACTTCACTGTACTGACACTGGTATCGAAAAATGAAGATCAAATTTATAAAAACACTGATAATAAAAAACAGTAACAATGAAAACTAAAAGGAGAGATATCCAACACATCTCAAACAGACTTAGGACGGAAATGTTGGTACGGAAGGAACCCAGTCAGAAGTTGGAGACCACCTGTAAGCATACTACTCACCTTCACAGATTTTGTCACCAAACTACAAATGAAATCCATGAATCCAAGATCTTTATAACAGTGAGTAATCAAAGTTCCTTTAGCTAAAGGCACTCCAGATTGCTGTGGATGACACAAAAAATAAGTATGTTGACCCAAACACTTTTAATTTTATTAAAAACTTCTCATTCCTCCTTTTATTAATTCTTATCTCTGACCTTAGTATCATTCATCTGCAGTAAATGTAACTCTTTTCAGCCTTGTTCTGCTGTCATGTGCTCTCCTACCTAGCCTGGCTCACCATCCTCAAGATTCAGGACAGTCCCTGATAACACACCTTTACTTCTCATTACTGTGTGTTACAGAACAATGTGACAATAACAAATCAGCTGCTTTAACGACAAACTCATGCGTCTGATCTTACCCAGGTCCCAGTGGTATGCAATCATCCTTTTATTCATTTACAAATCCTTGTTGTTGTTGTTGTTAAGTACCGTGGAGTCAGTTCTGACTCCTAGCAATCCTGCTCGAGTCTTCTGAGGCCATAAATCTTCACGGGAGAAGAAAGCCTCATTTTTCTCCCGCGGAACAGCTGGTAGTTTCGAACTGCTGACCTTGAGGTTGGCAGCCCAACTTGTAACCAGTACACTACGAGAGCTCCTTAGTCACAACTTAATAGTTTCTTCAAGTCCTTCAATGTATCGTTATAGCTTAAACGCCTCAGTTATCAAATTTCACAACCAACAACATGGTACAGAAGGTGTAAGCTTCTGAATCACATCCAGTTTCAAATCACAACTGTGTCACTGAACACTGGCAAGTAACTTCATTCTCTGAGCCTGTCCTGTTCTGTAAAAATGGAGATCTGTGAGATTCTAAGACAACATAATATAAAATTGCCTAGGCTGATGACTAAACAAAAGCTAGCTACTATTAGTAAGAGTTTAGACCGAAAGTTAGTAAATAAAAATGGAGGAAATACTTTACAACTCCCAGCTGAACCACAACTTATTTCTCCAAATTAACAACTCCTGTAAGTTGGCTTGAACCATAAGGTCTGCGGTTCAAGCGCACCAGATGCTCCTTGGAAATGCTATACAAGGCTGCTATGAGTCAGAACCGACTCAAAGGCACTTAACAACGACAATTATGATTACACCAGGAGTCCTGGTGTGGCACTGTGGGTTAATGCACTGCACTGCAAGGGCGGCAGTTCAAGCTCACCAGCCTCTCCTCAGAAACCCTATATAGGGCTGTTGAGCCAGAACGGATTCAACGGCACTTAACAGTAACAATTAAGATTATGGAGTTCTGGTGTGGCACTGTAGAATAAGCACTGACCATAAGATCACTTTGAACTGCAAGGCTGGAAGTTCAAACCCACCAGTCACACCTCAGAAACCCTATACAGGGTCACTATGAGTTGGAACTGGCTTGATAGAACTTAGTAACAATTAAGATTTAGAACAGCTACAGATGCATGTTATTCACCAACCATACCTTAACGGGCAACAACCAGAACCATCTGTGTTTAGGATTATTAATTTTTAGAAGCTGTATGACTCGCACAAATATCCTCGTCTCATGGTATGGCAGGACACAAGCAATGAGGCTATCTTGATTATAAAGATGGATATGGAACCTGGGGAAAAAGCAGACAATTCCATCTGACCCAAAACTAGTAGGCACATATTTCCTTACAATTCCTAATCTTGTATCAATACAATAACTTTGACACAAAGAACTTAAAACTGTAAGCCTTCAAATGCACCTCAATCTTGTTCTGGCAATGAGTATGCATTGATATTTTAAATATTCGATGTCAAAATGTACATGCCATTCACTTTATGTCACTGTCTTCCCGCTCTGGAATCATCACAAACAAAAGAAAAACAATAGAAAAGTCAAATCCACAGAAAAGCAACAGTTGAAGGCCTGGAGAAATGGGAAATTGTACAATAAGGGATGGTGACTTTCTGCTTAAAGTGACAAAAACTTTTGGAAAAGGTAATGATGATGGCTGGGTAACTAAAGAAGAGAATTATGACACAGAACAATACATATATAAATGGTTAAAATGACAAAACTTGTGTTGTGTCTATTAACACAACAGAATTACAACATAAACAGAACATTTATTTTCAAAGAATTAACTAAAATGTGTAAGTGAACACCAGTAAGTGTGAAAATACACGGAATAAACTTACAGAAAACAATTTCCAAAGTGAATGCAAGATCAGACCTTGGAAATAAACGTCAGTTGTAGCCCATCTCTGCCATATGCTAGTTGTGTGACTCAGACAACTCAAGAGTCACTTCGCAATTCAAAAACGGAGCTAGCATAAACATATTCCCACTGGAATGTTGATACTGCATTCAGAGTGCGTATCACAGAGACCAATCTTCCTGAGGCATTATTCAGTTAGCCCACAATCGTTTCTGTAATTCCACTGCGTACCTGTGAATCAACCACTCCAGACATTTCTGCGCTGGTTTAAGAAGGAAGTAAGGGGACAAGTGAATAAGGAATAATGAAATGTTTTCATCCAGCTGTTTGTTCACTGCTTTGGTCTGAACACTACGCTCTATGGTTTTTGATAGTTGGCTGAACAATGGTACTTCAAACTGTCCAAAGGAAGGATCGATTCCAAGCAGTTCTTCCAGGCCAGTGCAACCTATGAACAGACCAGATTATTTAATAATTTTTTGCAAGCAAAACTCACCCCACCGCTCCTTTACAAGTTTTGTTGTTAACTGCTGTTGAGTTAGCCCCCAACTCATGGCAACTGCAGGCACGACAGAGGCAAGCACTGCCTGGTTCTGCGCCATCACCATGACTGGTTGTGAATCAAGGCTGACTTTCAGAGGCTGCTCCCCAGGCCTTTCAGTACTGACATCTCAGTCTGATGTTTCACTGAAATCTGTTGAGCTTTGTAGCAATATGTAAGCCTCTGCTGTCAGACAACCCTAAAACACCTGAAGGCTTTCCCAGTACATACTAGGTCCAAGATTGAGATTTCTAGTTTGCAACATATAGGATACATTTTATTTCACCAACTACCCACCCATTCCCACTGCCATCAAGCCGATTCCAAGTCACATGGACTCTGGACAGGGTTTCAGAGGCTGTTTATGGTTACGAATCCGGCTGCGAGCCGCAAGGTCAGCTAGTTCCGCGGGAGAAAGATGAGGCGTTCTGCTCCTGTAAAGATTTACAGCCTCAGAAACCCTGTACGGGGTCGCTATGAGTCGGAACTGACTCCACAGCACACAACAACAACAACAACAACAACAACAATCTTTAAGTAAATCTGTCTCCTGAAATTTGAACTGCCAACTTTGCAGTTCACAGTCCAGTGCTTATCTACAGCGCCACCAGTGATCTTGTGACCAGTGCAGAAAATGAGAAGAGACATGTAGAGCAGGACTGCTAACCCGAGGTCAGCAGTTCAAACCCACCAGCCACTCCTGGGAAGCCGTATATTGAAAGATGAGGCTTTCTACTCCCGTAAAGATTTACACCCTCGGAAACCCTGTACAGGGTCGCTATGGGTCGGAACTGACTCGATGGCACATAACAACAACAACAACAATGAGTACAAAAGACTCCATGGCCTAAACAACACCCTCACTAGGCCAGTCCTCTTGATGCCCACCCCGTCTAGATGCTCTTCCTCTTCACAAAGCAGCTGACCTCTGTAACCTTGCTATTGTTGTTATGTACAGCGGAGTCTGTTCTGACCCATATGACCCTGTACAGGGTTTCCGAAGCTGTAAATCTTTACGGGAGCAGAAAGCCTCATCTTTCTCCCACAGAACAGCTGGTAGTTTCGAAATGCCGACCTTGAGGTTAGCAGCCCAACTGGTAACCACTACACTACCAGAGTTCCTTTAGGCTGCAGGTTAATGCGCTGGACTGCAAAGCCGGTTTGGACCGCAAGGCCGGCAGTTCAAGCTCATCAGCCACTCCTCGGAAACCGTATACAGGGTTGTAAACAGTTGGAACCAACTCTATGGCACTTAACAGCCACACTCTTAGCCATTTCTAACTGGTTCAATAAGGTTTTTATTGGAAGATTAACAATGATTGAGCAAATTATCATGTGCCAAGTACTGTGTTAGATGTTTAAAATGCACATGTAATTATTAACTACCGTGGAGTCGGTTCCAACCCACAGCGACCTGTATAAGGTTGCCGAGGAGCAGCTGGTGAGCTTGAACCGCCGACCTTGAGGTCCAGCGTGTTACCCGCAGCGCCACCAACGACCCCGCTAAGTAAGTGTGGGGCGGCAGCATCCACAGAACAAACGTCTCAAGAGTTCTTCTACGTCGAGGGGTAAACTCACCAATGGCAAAGGCGGTGTCCCTGTCGATGGTGGCCGCTTCTTTGGGGTCAAACAACAAGGAGGCCACTTCATCTCTCGACAGGAGGCTGGGATCGCTTTGAGGGAGGGCGAGTCGTTGGAGCTGCTGGGCTAAGGACGTCATCCTTCACACCGGGAGACCGCGGATTTCTAAAATACAGACTAAGAGACACAACCACTGTAAGAAATCTCGAAAACCGTCAGGAGGCTGTCCGGGAACTCGCGAACCCCAGAGATACAAGCACAATTAACACGTAAATGGACTACGGCCCGGGGGTCGGGTCAAGACTTTCTCCAGCCTTGTCTCCGCAGATACCCCGACGGCAGTCTCATTCTCCCCCACAGCCCCACCAAGTGGTTCTGTACCCATCCTCACCCGGAGCCCGGACTCGAGCGAAGACTTTAAAGCCAACAACTCCTTACAACCTCATCCACATGGTACCGCGATAGCCCGCTCTCGCCCGGAAAACTAAAACATGCTGTCGAGAAGCTTCCGGTTTCAGGCACTACGGCAAGAGAAGAGGCACAAGTTTGCTGTAAATGCGACAAGATGGCTACTTGCCTGTGGCGAGGCCCCGCCCCTCCGCTCCACCCCTCCGCTCTGCCGCTCCGCCCCACCTCTGGGCGCCAGGTGTCTTCTGTCCGGGTTCTGTGGTACGCGGCGGGGCGTGTTGTTTGAAGCTCTTCCTCTGTAGGTGGGCCTTTTGTGAGCCTTAAGAACATGCAGCCACATCATTCTTTCAGCAAATACGTACGCAGCTTTGACTTTGAACCAGCAACCTTGCATAGCGGTTATAAGTTGTGAAATTATGTTGCCTGAGTTCAAATAACGAGTTAGCGTCTATCAGCAATTATTTTAAACTTTCAGAGTTTGCTACCTCTAATTAAAACTGGGATTTTTTTTGTTGTTGCTAAGTGCCCTCTAGTCAATTCCGACCTATAGCGACCCTGTATAGGGTTTCCGAGGAGCAGCTGGTGAGCTTTATTGTTAGTAGATTATTTTCAACATACAAGGGGGCCTCAAAAAGTTCATGGAAAAATGCCATCGTCTCTTAATTCCATTTTCCAATAAAATCTTTGAAGCCCCTTCATACATATATTAAAACTGACACACTAGTATCTGTTGATGAGAAACCAAATGAGATGTATGTAATTAGTAATATCAATTTAGCGTGCAGAATCTATATTTTAGCTAAGGGTTTGACACTTAGCGAACCTGTATAGGGTTTCCAAGGATCGGCTGTTGAGCTTGAATCACTGAGCTTGTGGCTCAAACCGACTTGCAGTCCAGCGCATTAGCCCACAGCGCCACACCAGGACCCCAAAAGCCAGGTACTAAGGAGCTCTGGTAGCGTAGTGGTTACGAATCGGGCTGCGAACCTTAAGGCCAGCAGTTCGAAACTACCAGCTGTTCCGCGGGAGAAAGATGAGACGTTCTGCTCCCGTAAAGATTTACAGCCTCGGAAACCCTGTACAGGGTCGCTATGGGTCGGAAACGACTCGACGGCACTTAACAACAACAATAAATACAGTAATAGATAATTGAAAAGTTAACCATTTGTTCTTCATATGGTGTGCCAGACAAAGATATTTACATTATTATGAATCTGAGAATTAGTGGACGTGTTATAAAAAATGACAATAATTTGTTTGATAATTTTGAAATGCAAAATGCAGCTGTTGAAAAAACTGGCAATCAGCAAGAGCAATTGCCAGCTACACCCCTAGAAACCAGCAGATGGCACCAAAGCATTTTCCTGAAGCATAAAAACTGGCCTGCTAAACGCAAGGTCCCCTAGTTCAAACCCACCAGCGATCCTCGGAAACCCTATACAGGGTCACTATGAGTCAGAACCGAATTCACTGAAGTTAGCGGCAACAACAGAGTGCATTCAGTAAAGTTTCCCTAGCTCCCATAAGTATAGCAGCAGTTTTCAAACCTGTGAAACATGATCTGTGTTTAAATGAAACATGAAAACTGCCCAATTATCTAAAATTTCATTTTATTATACTTTTGTTGTTTTGGTTAAGTGTCATGGAGTCGGTCCCTTATACAGGGTTTACAAGGAGTGGCTGATGGGTTTGAACTGCCAACCTTGCAGTTAACAGTCCAGTGCTTATGCTACAGCGCCATACCAGGATTCCAATGTTGTAACATGCAAAGAAAAAACAGTCTTACTTTTAAATGCTATTTATAGAGGTACAGAACTTAAAAATGTTTTTATTATCTTAGCTAATGAGAATTATTCAAAGTCATTTGCTTAATAAATTTATTAAGTTTTTCTTGTTAGATGCTATCAAGTGGGTTCCAAGTCATAGTGACCTTATTTATGCACAACAGAATGAAATACTGCCCTTCACTGCTCCAGCCTCCCAGTTGTTAAGCTTAAGCCCATTGCTGCTGCCACTGTGCCAATCTATCTCACTGGAGTCTTCCTCTTTTTCTCCGACCCTCCAGGACTCTTCAGACATGTTATCAGTTTTATTATAACTGTATTCCATTGCTTCATAAAGTTAAATAATAACATGGAAGATATTTTAAAAGACCCAAATTGAACTGAACTAGAGGTCCTGGTGTGGCGCTGTGGGCTAATGCATCAGACTGTAAAGTCGTTTGAACTGCAAGGTTGGTGGTTCAAGCTCATCAGCTGCTCCTTGGAAACCCTATACTGGGTCACTATGGGTCGAAATCAACTCGACGGCACTTAACAACAACAAACTGTATGAGATGACCAAGTATATATCCTCTTTGAACGAGGTTAATGACAAAAGAGATATTGCTAAGTAGACTCAGTGGCATGAAAGAAAGAAAAAAAGGTAGCAGAAGAGAAGAAAAAAAATTAGTGAACTTGGCATAGCAATAGAAAGTATGCAAAAAGAATTTTTTAAAAAATGAACAAGCACCAGTAAACTATGGAACAACTTCAAGTAGACTAACATATATGTAATTGGAGTCGCTATAGGGAAGGAGGTGGACAGAAAAATGCATGAAGAAATAATGGTGGAACATTTTCCAAATTTAATAAAAACCATGAACCCATAGGTCAAAAAAGCTCAATACACCCCCATGCAAGACACATGAAGAAAACGACACCAAAATGCACCATAATCAAAATGATAAAGGATCATATAAAAATTTAAATAGTAGAAAAAGAGAAAGATAGAAGAATTGTGTATCAATTTGGGGGTTTATGTAAGAGAAGATTCTCTAGAAGTTTCAGAAAAAATTACTATTGAGGGAAATATCAGCAGATATGGTGGTGGTGATGTGCAGTGGAATCGGTTCTGACTCATAGCGACCCTGTATAGGGCTTCCAAGGCTGTAAATCTTTACATGAGCAGAAAGCCTCATTTTCCTCCCAGGGAATAGCTGCTAGTTTTGAACTGCTGACCTTTTGATTAACAGCCTGACTCTGTAACCACTATGCTACCAGAGCTTCTTATCAGCAGGAATAGTTACATACAAATGATAAATTCAACTATGCTCTGCTTTTTAAAATAGCACATTAATAAGTAACCAAATTTAAAAGACAAGCAACAGGGAAATTTTTTATTTAAAAGATAAGAGGATAAATATTAAATGTACTAAGAAGCTTCAAAAAGTTTGTGGGAAAATGTTACTATGTTTTGTTGTTGTTGTAGCAATATGTACAATAAAACACTTGCCATTTCAACCATTTTTACATGTGCAATCCAGTTATACCAACCACACTCCCTTGGCACACAACCATGACCACAATTCATTTTTAAACCTTTTTTTCTCTCTTTCTTTCCTTATCCCCCTATTTTTTTTCTTACCCTTTTTTTTATTTGCAGAACATTTCCAATGGTTTGTGCTAATGAGAAAATAAGTATACATTGTTACCCTTCCAATATATTAAAAAAAAGACAAAAGTAATTCCCCTTTTGCTCCTCCTTCTTTGTTCTTCCTTTCTTTTCCTCTTAGCTGTCATTCACATCACCCAAATTAGCGTTTGTTTGCACTCTACCCAGTGAACAGTTCACAGAATGTTTACTATAAAATGAAAACCTTTTCTTGACTTTTTACTATTTTTTTTAATATATATAAGTTTTTATTGTAAGGTTTACATGGAAGAATATCAATTTAAAATTCATCCTATCATATTTCATTTCATTGCAATGATTACAGTCCCTTCCATGCATCATCAAATAACCAAATAACCCCACAGGCCCACCCTTCCCCTCCCCACCCCCAGCCGCCAGCACACAGCCCCTCTCCCTCCTTGAGTCCAGTGTCCCCGGCTGCTTCATCTGTCCGTGTCATCATCTCTGTCTCCATCCCTGGCGTCACTGCTTCTCTGGGTAGGGTCCCGCACTCTGATCTTCTCAATTGATGGTCCCAGGGACCTCTGCTCCTGGGCTGCAAAATCAATCTCTCCTCTCCTTTTGTCAAAAAACATCTACCTCTATATTT